TCCTTTTCCTATGCTTGGGGAATTTTCCATAATTATTTCTCTGAATAGTCTGTATTTCCTTTGTTTACTCCTGCTTCTTCATTGAATTCTTTATTTTTAAGTTATAGATCCTCTTGTCATCTTCTAGCCTTTGTATCATTACTGCCTGTTTCCTTGTACTTTTAAGAGATCTTTCCTTTCATAATCACATATTGCAAACCTGTGTTCAAGGTTTAATAGTCTATCCTTAGTTTCTTTCGAGCAGTTTTGCCAGCTTTCAATGGAGTATTTAATTTCCTGGTAATCTCTTTGAACCTGCTTCATGTATTCTAGGTTTTCTCTATATTTCTCATTGAACATTTCTCTCCTTTTTTTGTCTTCTTCTATTCTTCTGTCTGTGTCTTCTTTGAGAAGTTCCTAGGATTTCTTTTATTAATCTATTTATATTTTGCTTTACTTGCATTAATATTTAATTTTGAACTCATGTATGAGGTCCCAAAGATATCTCTTTTGTCTACTGATGCCATGTCAGCTATTGCATGTTTGCTGCCCTCAATCTCTTTTGTATTTACCTCTCCTGTATCAATGTCCTCAGGGTTGGGGACTTTTTCTTACTTCTTTCTTTTGTCATGTTTTTGTTTTCTTACATACAGGTGTATAGAGGAGGTCCCAACCCCTTTCAATTGTTGGTTATGGTTCATCTGAAGCACGCTGGCTAGGGATTTATGCCCTCTCCAGTTTTTCTGTTGGTCACTGAGGTGCAAACAGGAACAGTATATGCTGGTCCCTCCCCTCCGGATAAGTTAACCTGTGGGGGCCTTCACCGCGTTAGCATGTGCCACGCATACAGAATTGATGTGCGGTGACTTATTGGGTCTCAGCCTGGGGTGTGAGCCAAGCCAAGCAGATCCCACCAATCGGCTCTGGGAAGAAAACAACTGAGTGAAATCACTACTGTTCCTTGTTCCTGCCCATTCTGCCTGATTCCAACATGTCGTCCAGTTGGTCACTCCTTTCCCATGGGAGGATCTTACTTCCAGTACTCACTGAGGGTTAATGCAGGTCCTTTGCTGGCTCCATTGGCCATTGGGTTTGCTGACCTCTGACTTCAGTGCCACCATGGCTCCAGCAAGTCTCAGCGGTGGGAGTTTGCATGAGTTCAGCAGGCTCCAGTGAGTCACGGAGGTGTGAGTGAGTTTGGGCGCCCCAGCAAGAGCACCCTGGTCGCTGATCTTAGCTGCTCCAATGGTAGCCCCAGGACTGTGTGTTTGACCAACTCTTTTCCCTTTAGTTTCTTCCTGGGTCGAGAGGAGCCATCTCCCTCTGTCTGGACGTTTCCAGGATAGTTTATTCCAGCATCTGAGTTGTCTCTCTCAGGGAGCTTCTGTATTCTGCTGCTTACCAATCCACCATCTTTTGTATTATACCTTTCATGTGCATCAATTTTGCTACAAATAAGTCCAGTTTATCCTTTTTTGTGGCTAAATAGTACTGTAGTCTTCATATACACCATGTATATATGATTCGTGTATTAATCATGGCATTGTGCTGCTTTGAACATGTGCATGCCAGTATCACTGCATTATGATAACAAATCATTTTGGGAGGTAAATCTTTCATCAAAAATAATTCCTAGTTTTTAGTTTTCTGAAATATTCTCATAGTGCTTCTTTTAGTGGTTGTACCATTTTACTTTCCTACCAACCAAATGCTACAAACCATGAGAGCATTTCTTGTTATTTCAGTTAGTGCTAGTAGTGATGTTGAACATTTTTCCATGGACTTATTTGTACCTCAATTTGTACTTTCATTTTTTGTTTCAGCCTTATTTTGGAAGGCCTCTAATTTGCTGATGTTCTGGTATTTTCATATATTAGTCACCTGTCTGAGGAGTAGCTGGCAAAACTGTTTTCCCATTCTGTTATTTGTCACTTCACTGTGCTGATAGTTGAACTCTGCTGTGCAGAAACTTTTTATGTTGATATGATAAAACTTGTTGAATCTTAATGTTGTTTCTTCTTCAATTAGTTTTCTGATGAGATAGTTATTGAAGACACCTGTCTTCAAGACTTTTACCTAGTTCACCTTTTGCTAGACTCTGTGTTTTTACTTCTAGGTTTTTGATCTATTGTGACTAGTTGAACCCATGCTGAGAGACAATGGTCTTGATTCTATTATGTCCATGTGGAAAAGATTCTCAGCACTGTTTATCAGAGGAGGGTTACCTTTCTTCAGCATTTTTCAAATGTCAGACTGCTCCATGTACCTGTAGGTTTATGCAGTCTTTCCTTGAATTCATCTACCTACGTGTCTGCTTTTCATAGAACATAGAATTCACTGCAGCTTTGTAAAATAACCTGAAGTCTGATATTGTGATTCCTGCTGCTTGTTTTACTGCCCAGCAATGCTTTTGCTATTTTGATCTCTCTGATGAAGAATGATGTTGGTGTTTTGATTGGGGTTACATTCAATGTATGTTTCAGTTTTGGAAATGTGACAATACTTATTTTGCCTACTCAGAAAAAGGGGTTTATATTGAGATTTTGAGGTCTTTAGATCATTTACTTCCCTTGCTAGGTAATTTCAATGTACATAATTGATGCTATATTTAATTGTAGTTTCCTTGATTTGTTTTTCAGTGATTTCAAATTTTTAGTGTTGCAATTAATTTTTGTTACTGATTTTGTATCCTACTAATTTTCTGCATTTGTTTATTAGTTTTAGGACAGTACTGAGGAATTCTTTTGATTTTTCCATGTAAATAATATTATTTATAAATATAATTTCACTGATTGCTGTACATTTCCTGTATATTTCTTCTATTGCTGATTGCTATGACAAATATTTTGAGTACTACATTGAATAGGATTATTATGTTAAAATACTATATTGAATACCATATTCAATATTATTTTAAACAATGAGAATCAACATTATCTTTTTCTATATTTCAGGAATTTTTACAGTATTACCACTGTTTTGTATGTCGTTAACAGTAGGAATGTCATTAAGACTTTTATTAGATTAACAATATTCCAGTTCAGGTCAGAACTTTCCTGGAGCTAAGAAAACTGTTTCTCTGGATTATCAATATTTATTGAGCATTCACCAAATTTGAAGATGGGGCAGAAAAATGGACAGAATACCTGAAGCTTGAAGTGAAAAAATGAGAGATGCCAGCCCTTTCCTATGAGTCAATGCCATTTAAAGACTGAGACAGTAGAACAAGAAATCAACAAGAATGTAAGACCTCCTGTGACTCGGCACCATGCCCGGGCTGATTGGAGGGGAGCCAGACACCAGCACTCTGCTGTGAGTTAGTGTCATTCTCACACTGTGGAAGAAGAGAACAGGAGGTCAGTAAGAAGCTGAGATTTCCTGTGGTTTGCAGCCACACACAGGCTGCCTGAGGGAAGGTCAGAGGGATCAGCATCATTTGTGGACTGTGCAGGAGGAGAACAAGAAATCAAAAAGAATATAAGACTTCCTGTGACTTGGCCCCATGTGCAGGATGATTGATGGAAGGCCAGATGCCAGCCCCTTATGGCATGTGGGCAGGAACACAAGAAGAGCCTATGTCCCCACTGCTCATAAGTAACTGGCTGATCTAGAGAAACACAGGCTTTGATGATAGCTAATAAGCAAAAATACAACTTAATAGTTGTAATGTTTAGTGTGTCACTGAGTTTATAGGCCTAAAACTGGTGGTCTAAACATGTGTTAAGAGAAAAATACAGTGTAGCATAAATGCAGGCTCTCCTTCCTAAGGTGGCAGCCATAGTTAATGCTCTATTGTATTAAAGGCTGTATCTTTCTCATTCTTTTGGATGGTTGGATTTTATTGTTTCATCTTGATTTTATTATATCTGATCACACGGGTTGCTATTTCAACGATAAGATATACTATGGTACCCATATTGGATTCACTATTATATTGTTCTGAAGTCTTGTACTGCATTCATTATTTTGTTTTCATTGCTGTATTGTTATGTTTTGCTTGATTTTACTACATCTGAAGGTATGGGCAATTATTTTGAAGACAAGAGGCATATGGTGACCACTGTTGATTGCCTAATATCTTGTTTTGAAGTCCTTTCTCACTGACAGTCTTGTTTCGATTGGCTTTATTTTATGTGGTTCTATTCTAGCTTCAGTTAGAGCTTCTCATATTTTGACACACATTCCACCGTGTTGCACACGTTATTTCCCCTCTGCCTCCATTTGCTTTTAATTACGCAGTACACCTGTGCCTGAGTGGCAACATGACAGACACAAACTGCTGACACTAATATTTTCTTGATTGTAAGCTGGTGGGAAATAAATATGCTCAGGATAAAATGACCTCTATTTGCAGTTTTGCTTTGGCTGCTCTAACAGTGTGCATTATGCAATGCTCTAATGATGATAAGAGTTAGAAATGAACTGAAGTAAAATTACTCATAAATGTAACCATGTAAATACATATGGTATATTACACAATATAGTAGAGTTCATGATGAATGAAACACATTTCATTATAAAATAGACAAAAAATTTCCCTGGGGTGGTAAATGCCTAACCAACATTTGGCAGGATTAAGATTGCCATGAGTTGAAGGCTACATGGTGAGACCTTATCATTAAAAAGAAAAAAGAGTAAATAAAATGTGGCTTGTCTAAGTATAATAAACTTAGGCTACGGTGAGGTACCAATGTGCAGAGTACTAAGACTACTCAATGTATTTCTCATTTACGCTCTGACCTGGCATTACTGAAATCTGACCTCATGGTAAATGGAGCTGCTACTGAATTGAAAGGGAAAACAATGCAGCATATTTTACAAAGCACTGCAGTATTTGTAGATAAAGAGGCAAAATAAGTCAAGGATGCCAGATGGTCTCACCCTGACAGCATGAACAAATCATATGCTTTGTAATTGACATCATTTTCTTTAATCATCTGACAGTGGTACTTGGCAATGAAAACACTACCATAAATCTATGTCTAAATTTGAGAAAATAGAACACAAATGAATCACACAAATTACTCAATTTCTATTTTTAATGACTGATTTGAGTTTTCCAAGTTAAAAAATGTATTTCCAAAGTATAAAAGATATTTTCAGCATAGAAAAAATAGAGCTAAGAACTGACAAATTGTGAATAAAAGAAAGCACCCAATAGTGTCAAAAATCAATAGGATCAAAATTCCTGAGGATGTTCTTGCACACGATCGAAAATCATCATTAAGGAATGTGGAGAGGTTACTTATTATAATGTATTGTGTCTTCACTGAGAAAATATATAGTCCTGCTGGTCTCTGGCAGTGGGGGACTCATAGAAATAGAGATATACTTTGAATAATGAATTCCAAAATAAATCATGGAACATGAGCCTAAAAAGTAAAATTTAATGATAAAAAACAACTGATATTATAGACATATGATATTAATGTTTCTGATGTGGAGAAATGGTGGACAAATTTTTGCGCTCCCTGTGATTTGTAATCATGTTGCAATATATTATTTTTTACAGTATTAAAAATGTATTTGTTAACTTACATATTATTTGAAACAAATGCACGCTCAAACACATGTATGGAAGTTACTAGGATTAAAATTATAAATTATGACATCCATTTATAAAATTCTTACTAGAATAGTGCACAGTATGCAGCAAAAGTTTAAATACAAACTAGTGGAAAAATAACAACAGTTAAAGGAAATTCAGCTTTAGAGTCATGTTACAGCACAGTTACTTAAAGAGAAAACAAAGGAACAAACAAACAAGAAAACCCAAAATAATGAACCTAATGGTGTGTATGGAAATACAAGATACCTAAGCTGCAGCTCTAACAAATAAAAGACAATTATCATCTACTTTAAGGAAACAATACTAATCTGCTGTGTTGCTGCTTACAAGGAGGCACAGATTTAAATGCAGTATATATTTTTAAAAGTAAACTTCAAATTATTTAATCCAGAAATCTCCATGAAGACTGAGTTTAGAGTATTTATACTTTAAGATATCTCTTCCATATGTACATTTTCTGGAGAAATAATTGATATCTTATTTTAACATAACTCATCTTTAGGTTTAAACTATATAAAATTGATCAAAGAATTAGGAAAATTATAGCTGAGAGTTTCATACAAACACCGATAGATACAATATTCACTTCTTAGATGCAGTGCAACTGAGAACTTCTGTACATCAGTTATATTAATGTTCTGCCACAGGGCTGTGCTAACCCGCCACATGAATTAAGCCAAAATGACTACAGATGTTCCCACATGATGGACATTCTTTGAACTCTACTGTGCTGTGCGAGATTTAATAAAAAATGCAAAAATGATTTCTCATATTCTACTTTTTACTAACTCTCCTGAATCTGTAGGTTTTGTGATGTTATCGTATCAATGAATTCTCACATTATTTGCCCAGAGTTTTTTTTTAGTGGAAGAACTTTCATGTATGTCAAGTCTATTGGAAGAATGGAAGAATATGGATAATTTCTTTTCATTAGAATTCTTTCATATATTTCAGGTGAGGAAAAAATACTCCTACATAGCTCATCCATGTTGTGAGTCTGTCCATTGTAAATTCTTTCATTTATTTATTGATACCAGTTGGTCTAAAACATGCTTTACTGTTTCAAGAAAAGATCTACTCCATATGATTCATGTCAGTGTAAGTCGCCCTTTTGAATACTGATGTTACTGAAGAAGCTTTTGCTTGTTTACAGTCTTTCTCCTAAGTGAGATTTTTATGTATTTCATTCTGTACTGACTGCATTCTCACATTGTTTACATACATAGCATTTGAAGCATGTGAGTCCATTTGTATCTTGGTAAAACACTGCATGCCGAAAGGCTTTCCACATTGCCTGCATATGCTGGGTTTCTCCACAGTGTAAGTCTTTTTATGTATTTTAGAATGATAGGATTTACTGAAAAATTTCCCACAGTTTACTTACATAGGATTTTTCCACAGTGTGATTTCTCTTGTACTCAGTGTACAGATATGTTTACTCTGTTGCTTCTCTACAGTGAGTCTTTGCATGTACTTGACAGTAATGTATTTTGCTAGAAGCTTTCCCATATTCTGTATATACTTAGGGTTTTTCCCCAGTGTGGGTTGTCTTATGTACTTGACAATGACTGTATGTGCTGGAAGGTTTTCTGGTTTTTCTTTTTTTTATTGGTACCAGGGATCAAACTCACAACCATGCGCTTGCAAGTCAGGCACTTATGCAGCTGAGCTAAATCCCCAGCTGAAGTAGTATTTTTGGGTATGTTATTGCTAGGGATCAAACTCATGACTTCGCATTTGCCAAGCAGGCACTTACACTGCTGAGCTAAACTCCCAGCCCACTGGAAGGTTTTCTATACAGCTTACATACATAGGACTTCTCTGCAGTGAGGCTTTTCATGTACTGGGCAGTAATGTATTTTTCTACTCTACCACATTGCTTACATACTTAGGATTTCTCCCCATTATGAGTCCATGAATTAATTTAGAATAAGTTTTTGTCCAAAGCCTTTCCCACATTACTTAGTGTTTCTCTAAGTGGGAAATCCTTTCATATATTCAAATATGGCTAGTACACACTGCTAATGTACATAGGTTTTTTTACAAAGTGTGGGTACCTTCACAAATTTTGCAGTCTTTGTTTGTAGTGAAAGTTCTCCTATATTGCTTATATACATAGGGTTTCTCCTCAGTGTTAATTCTTTGATGTTTCACAATAACCATGTGTGCTAAAAGCTTTACCATACGGCTTACATACACAGGTTTTCTCTGCAGTGTCTTTTCATGATTTGACAATAACTTGAATTAAAAGGTTTAGCATATTGCTGGCAAACATAGTTCATACACAGTGTGAGTTTTTTCATGTTTTTTTTTCTCCAATAAGCACTTGTGCTGAAAGATTTTCCACATCACTTACACAACCAGGCTTTCTCTACAGTGAGTCCTTTCATGTTTCCGCCTATTATCTTTTGTGCTGAAAGCTTTCCCACAGTGCTCATATATAGTTTTCCTGCAGTGTGACTCATTTCAGGATGTTGCCATCTATATTTTCTGCTGAAACCTGTCCCTCAGTGCTTACATACATAGAGTTTCTCACTAGTGTGAAGATTTTCATGAACTCGACAACACTTTTTAGTCTTAAAAGCTCTCCCACATTGCTTACGTACATACAGTCTCTCTGTAGTGAGTCCTTTCATGTACTCTAATATGACTGGATGTGGTAAAGGCTTTTCCACATTGCTTACATACATAGGGTTTCTCACCAGTGTGAGTCCTTTCATGTACTCTAATACCACTGTATGTGGCAAAAGCTTTCCCACACTGCTTGCATACATAGGGTTTCTCTCCAGTGTGAGTCCTTTCATGTACTTGACAATTCCTTTTTGTGGTGAAAGCTTTCCCACATTTCTTACATACATATGGTTTCTCCCCAGTATGAGTCCATTCGTGCATTCGCCAGTTATGTTTCATGCTGAAAGACTTCCCACACTGATTACATACATAAGGTCTTTCCCCAGTATGTGTTGCTTCATGAGTTTGACATAAACCACGTGTGCTGAAACCTTTGCCACACTGCTTACATACATAGGGTTTCTCTGCAGTGTGAATTCTTTTATGTACTTGACAATTTCTTTTTGTGCTGAAAGCTTTCCCACAATGATTACATATATAGGGTTTCTCCCCAGTGTGACTTCTTTCATGTATTCGGCAGCGACCATGGGTGCTGAAAGCTTTCCCACAATGGGTACACACATAAGGTTTTTCTCCAGTGTGAATTCTTTCATGAATTCGACAACTACTACTTGTGCTGAAAGCTTTCCCACACTGCTTACATACATAGGGTTTTTCCCCAGTGTGAGTTCTTTCATGTATTCGACAACTATCTTGGGTGCTGAAAGCTTTCCCACATTGGTTACAAATATAAGGTTTCTCTCCAGTGTGAATTCTCTCATGAATTCTGTAAGTACTACCTTTCCTGAATGATTTCCCACAATGCTTACATACATAGGGTTTCTTTCCAGTGTGAATCCATTCATGCATTTGCCAGCTATGTTTTCTGCTGAAAGCTTTCCCACACTGGTTACATACATAGGGTTTCTCCCCAGTGTGAGTTCTTTCATGTATTTGACAACTATTTTGGGTGCTGAAAGCTTTCCCACATTGGTTACATATATAAGGTTTCTCTCCAGTGTGAATTCTCTCATGAATTCTGCAAGTACTACCTTTCCTAAAAGCTTTCCCACACTGGTTACATACATAGGGTTTTTCTCCAGTGTGAATCCATTCATGCATTCGCAAACTATCTCTTCTGCTAAAAGCTTTCCCACATTGTTTACATACATACGGTTTTTCTGCCAAGTGACTTCTTTCATCATTAGCCAATGAATTGTTAGTGAAGGATTTTCCACATTGTTCAAGTCCATAGGTTTTATCTCTAAAGTGAGGTTTTTCATGTGCCTGAGTATCATGGTGATAATTAAAATCCTTTCCCCACGATACACATATGTACATATTTACTTCACTGTGACTGCTTGCTCCAATTTGCACATCATTTGGTGTAATGATGGAAATACTTTCATGTGGTTTTATACCAACGACTCTCATTTGCACATTTGTGTCAGGTGTCGGAGAAACCATTTCACCTTGTTGATACCAGAGTTGATACTGCCAGGACTGCTCTACCTCTTCACTTCTGTAAGAGGGGAGAGTAACAAATCAGCCTCACATTTTACAGCATCTTTGTAGTAGTTATTCACCACGAGGAGATCTGCTTTGATGCCCTTAAGAACACACAACCATCGCCTTATTGTGCAGTCTGCCAGATGGTTGGGATGCAGCTGTCACCCAAACAGGATTCAATTGAGTTTGTAATTGACCCATTTGCAATTCCCAATATTTATTTCCACTTTGAGGAACTGCAGCACAGCTTGCTAAGCCCAGCTCCATGCACTGGTGACCCTTACACCTTTCCCCCCATGACCCCATCCCCTGCCCTCCACTCAGCCCCCTCAGCCCCTCCAGTGCCTGCCTCTCTCTCTGCCACCATCTCTCTCCTGTTTACTCCTTAGCTCATATGGTGGGATTCTGATGCATAAGAGAACATTTGATACTGAAATTTCTTTTTGACTTCTTTAATCTAACTTTATGGTATCTACATTCATCCATATTTTGGCAAACGGCACTTCATTCTTTTTGACATGAATTCTAAGCCATTATGGGGATAGAACACAGGTTTTTCACTACTGAAAATTGAATCCACGGTTTTAGCATTAAGATACATGCACATGCATTTTTATTTTTATTTCGAAATGGACTCTCATCGATCATTAAGTTACCCAGCTAAGCATGAATGCATGATCTTCATGCCTCAGTTTACTAGAATACTAGGATTCAAAGCCTGTTCTTTTATGCCTAAGTGAATTCCACATTTCCTTAGTCAGTTCATCTGATAGATATTTTCGCTTTTTCCAGAGCTTAGCTTTTGTGCTGCTACAAATTGTTGAGAACCACTGTAGTGTGATTATTTAAATGTTTAGGGAATATACACAGTGTAAGTATAGTTGGGTACACCCTGGGAGGGTGGTGTGTTACTGTCATCCCAGCCCTTGGGAGGCTGAGGCTGGAGGATCACTGTGAGTTTGAGGTCACCCTGGACTACACAGTGATAACCTGTTTTTTAAAAAGACAGTATAGATGATAAAATACAATGTCTACATTACTTTTTCTGTGGCATCCCCGTATCCATCTGCATAGATGTCACAGCACACTCAAGGTCCCACCAATGACCATTTAATATGTTGGAATATGAGTCATCTGTAGTTTTTGAAGGACTGCTTAAACAGAAATCAATCAGATTAGAACAGGGATATTCATTTAGATTTTGAATATATCCACAATATTACAATTTTTCACACACTGAATGTGTACATCACATTGAACTACATATAACGTCATGTATAATTTGTTTAGTATGGAAGTGGTCTTTTAAAAACACATGTATATACCATTAGAAATTAGCTCTTGGTGCACACAAAAAATTTGTTTCATATCATCTGGTCCTCAATGTCTGAATTCTATTTCAATGAAAACATGTATAAACCTGAGCATGGAAAAACTTGTAAATTCTTTTATTTTAATTTTTAAAATTTCAGCTAAGGCTTCACGGCCATCGAGGTTTTGAAGTCAGTGGCTTTGAACTCACTGTATGTCCCACTCTGGCCTGACCTGGTGGCAGTGTTCCTGCCTCAGTCTCCAGGTGCTGGCATTACAGGGGGTACCCAGGCATCCCACTAACTGCTCTTTTACTTTATCTCAAGGATGGCATAAGATGAATACCAAATGGATTTCAGACACTGGAATATTTCAAATATTCAGTTGTCAGATTAGACATGTTCAATCCACTGAGAAATTTTGTGAAGATAAAGAAGTTTGAACAGGATCTCATTTGTGTAGTTTCCTTGGGTTTAATATTCTGACATTTGTGGATCTTTCTTCTCTGACTACAAATTACCTTAGATGTTTCCTGCAATTTCTATACTCATCTTCAGCGTGCTGGTCATCTGAGTCCCTTCCTAAAGGGTAGAAACAGGAATGTAATGACTTACTAAACATATGAAACTTGGGAGAGTCCAGTTTGATTCGCAGTACAGTGTGACCATTTGGCCACGTAACATTTCATGCATAACATTTCCATCTTCCCATTAAGGACACTGTGCTGATGAGCAGGACCCAAAATGGCATCTTCCTTACCTACGGCAGCCAGGTTCATAAAGGTTTCCAGCATCACATCTCTGTAGAGCTTCTTCTGGATTGGATCCAGCAAAGCCCACTCCTCACCGGTGAAGCTGACAGCCACATCCTCGAAGGTCACCACCTCCTGCATCATCAGATATGGATTCCAAGAAAAACAGTGAGTCACAAACATGAGGTCTCTCAACTCTACCTGTAAACACTCCATGTGAGGCTGAGTTTTCTACATATTTATGTGTGTCGTGGTCATCAAACAGTTATTCTGCATCCAGTTACACTTGTCTCACGGGACCTGTGAGGCTACCCTGGAATTGGGTGCTGAAGCCACAGTGGGATGGGACAGTGCTTCTCCTGCTGGTTAAACTTAAGTTTACTAGTACAAAGTCACGAAAGCAAGAGTCACAGTAGAAGCCTACGAATCCAAATCCAAGTGAAAAAAGTAATAAACAAAGACACGAAGAATTGCTCTGAGGCATCAAAGAAAATGCATGTTCTCTAACTTGCTGTTTAGGGCATTGATCGCTTCCTTTTCCAGTTCTGCTTACACAGTGCTGTTGAATTTCTACCTTTTGTTGCTTCCGGCACTAAGTTACATGTGACCTGTGTAAGTTTACCCTGGAGAGCTCCACCCACCTTGGCTAAGAAGGGGGATGAAAGCAACCCTGTTTCTCTCCTGGGGTGTTTAGGGCATCAGAAGAGACCCAGAGAAGGGTAACCGATCTGGGCAACTGCATAGACAGTTTTGGCACAGCCAAACTAGGACAAGGAGCAGCCTGTAAGATAGAAAGACCTGGAGAGGTGGAGTGGGGAGGAGGGGCAAGCCGTGTGCAGTGACAAGCCCGAGCTTCTTCTCTTGTGGTCCAGATGCCCCCAAGACACACCCAGTGCTATTCTCACCTACATCATCCAACTGCCTGCTAGGAAGCCAGGCCTGTCCCTGTCCCCTCGGGCACCAGTGACAGCGCCCCTCCCTCTCATTCCAACACTGCATTCTGGGAAAACACTGCCAGGGTGCCTGGGGAGACCTGACTGCTGTTTCAATATGCAAAGAAAAACAGGCAGCTAAGGTGCTTTTATTTTCCTTCAGTTTCAAAAATCGTCCATCAGTCTGCCCTGCAGCGATGCTGACCACATTCGGCATGGGAGCAGGTCCACGCACTCTGCATGGCTTCCTCCTTCCCCACCCACTTCATCCCCCATCTCTTGGCCTCCTTCCCATGAGCATCAGCTCAGTCTCCCCAGATCCTTCATCTGTCTTCACTGTGCTGCTCCATTGTGTCTGCTTCTTCCTGTTCACGAACAGTCTCCAAAAACTACACGTGATAATCTGGAAAGCTAATGAAAACCTTTACAGTTTCTGTTGGAGAATGTCTTAGAAATCTGAAACTGGATTATGGAAGCCATGCTGTCCTGGGGCTCAGTGTCCAAAAAGTTGGCCTAAGGAGAGAGATGGGGATGGACACGATGCCATATGTATGACACGTACTGATCCCGGCACTCTGGAAACTTAACAGGGATTAATAATGAAAGGAAAAACGGATGAAAAAGTCTCAGTTCAAATATGCCTGCAAATGCAAAAGTTTCTTTAATGTACGGTTCAAAATTCACTGTGAAGGGCACAGCTCTGTTATTACAGAAAGTGACAAACAGCCCTCAGCGCAGAAAGACAGTCAGTAATTGGCTCATCCATCAATAGAAACTGCCTTACTTTCCTTCCATGGATGAGAAAAAAATGCCCTACATGCAAAATTAAGGGAGCAAAGTGTCATTTGGGCTCATATTTGTAGAGATTTCAGTGCAAGACGGGCTGCAAAGTAGGGAGGCGGGGCAGAGGGGCATCGCAGAGGAGAAGCAGCTCGGGACCCTGACATTTTATCTATGACAGGAGCACTGACGCTGCATCCTAGCATCTTACCGTGGCACAGCTCGAGTGACAACTGGGTGCTATTAGTAACAACTCCCTAGAGCTTACACTTTTTCACTATTTAAACATATTCAGAGACCGGAAAAGGAATGAAATTAAGATTTATTGAATTTTACCCTGTAGATAAATAAATGCTTAGAAATATAGAAATTGTCAAGTCAGGTACTAACAAAAGGGGGAGATTGGAAAATCAAAGAAACTATCAATTGCAGTTTGAATCTAAGACTTCCTTTCACACATTCATCTCACAGGGGGCTTGCAAGCCATTCCTCCGAACCATGAATATACTGCTCAAGACGCAGTTTTGGTCAGTTTGCAATATATATCAGCAATTCCCCATGGTGACTATGTTTATTATATATTATAACCATATGCTAATAAAAAGATTATAACAAAAGATATTCACAGTAAGAATGGTCTCACCTGTGTGTAACTCAAGAAAAGTTTAGAAAACAATACAGTACATTTAATCACATTTATGCAACATTCAACTGAAAACTGCTAAGTGTGTGCAAAACATGGGGATTACACCACCACACTGCAGGAAGGCAGGCAGATCTTCAATGCGGGACAAAGCATTCCCTACTCAAGTACAGTGGGAAAGAGAAAATAATCTCTCTTCTTGGCAGGCAGTCCACTGATGAAACGGATGCTTAGACCAAGTCAGGTCCCAGGTCCCATGCACAGCAGCACACACACTCATACACACACACATTCACAGGAAGGTGGTATTTATCTGATTAAGATACGGATGTCTCAGTGTAAGAAACCTCTCATAAAATTCATCACAACAATCCACAAAGTAAATCGTCATCTGATTATCTCTATCTAGGCATACACCTGTTTTCAAAATCTCAATTTATATTGTTTCTCAGAGCCCGCCAAAGAAGGAAAAAATGAAATGGAACCTCATGCCTTGGGAAGAGACAGAGGACAGAACTAGCCCATGGTCCTGAATGAAGGCACCGTCCGGATGCTAAGTTAAAATCAGAAAAAGGAATGTCCGCTGTCTCCACGACTCAGTCCCATGAGATCACAATCAACAGTGGCGTTACAGGGCAGAAACCAGAAATTAGTAACATGAGCAATGAAGAGAAAACTCACTTTCCATAAATGATTTAGGAATCAAGATGTAATACGTTAGGAGAACCGTGCTGCCAAACACAAAGTCAGCTGGAAAAACAATCATCAATGTTCCTCATGGTCTTAACATTCGCCCAGACTACATCCATTTAATGATGCTATCATCATCAAAAATTAAATTCTGAGTAAGTCACTCTAAGTCACTGAGCTCTCACCCTCAAAGCACCATAAACACAAAGAACCTTGGTTCATCTTTTTACAACCAAGCCGGACATATCAACATTCACATGGAAAGAGAATTTTAGACACATTTCACACATGCAGGCAGATTTGCAATGCAAGACAAAGTATTCCCTATTCAAAGAGAACTTGGCCTGAGAATGGTTTCTCTTCTTGGAAGGTAACCAATTTGTGACATGGTGCCTAAATTGTGTCAGGTACCAGGTATGATACACCCCCACACACGCACACACACAACTGCATCACAGGAAGATGTTTATCTGAGTAAAGGGTGAGAAACCTATCATAAAATTCATCATGAAAATCAACAAAGAAAAACTTTATCTGATTATTTAAATCTTGCCATATTTTCTAAAACTCAATTTATATTGTTTCTTAAAGCACTCCACAGAAGAAAAATTATGAGTGAAACTTCATACCTAGATAACATACATGGAATACAGAACGACCCACGTGTCCCTGAATGAAGGCATTTTTAGGTTTATATTAAAATCAGAAATAGGAATGTTCACTACCTCCACTACTAAGTCATGTGAGACCAAATATATATGTGGTGTTCTAAGGCAATAAACAGAAATTAATGACATGAACATTGAGGTGAAAGAGAAAATCACTTTCCATAAAGAATTTAAGAATCTAGGTGTCTTATTTTAGGAAAATAACAGGAGAATATGTTGCCAAACACAAGGTCAACTGGAAAAAAAAAATCAATGTTTCTCATGATCTCATCTTCACTAAAACTCTGTCTATTCAATAAGCTAAGTTATTCTCATCAAAAATACATTTTGATAGAATTGCTCTAAATCATTTAGATCTTAACTTCAAAGCACAATAAATGCAAAGAACCTTGCTGCTCTTTCTGAATCAGGCTGGACATTTCAATAGTCATTGAAATACCAAAAAACTTCTCTTTTGTTGAGGAGTACTGGCAAGAACAGACGTGACGCTGCATAGTTCACTGACACAGCAAGAGACTCGTCATACGGCCAAATGCCCCCTAGGCACTGCACAGTTTCGGTCCTTGCAGCTGCGGATCTGTGGCCCTGTATGTTAGTAACAGTGACTGTGGTTGGGGACATTTTGTTTGCAGTTCTTTGTCCTCCAATTTTTTTTTTAAAGAAAGACAAAACAAAATAGAAAACGGGCAGTATGTACTATTGTACATACTTTCAAAGCAGAAAAATAGACAGTAATAAATCACTAGCTGATGATACATATTGTCCTCCTGTTTAATAGTTGTTCAAGATACACAAGTGGAACATATAAATGGGATTTCAACCAGGGGGACTACAAACAATTCTGTTCAACTATCCAACAAAAACTAAGTATTATAGCTATCAATCCTATACACTTAAGACATGTATGCGTTTATCCATATCTTCATTTATGTTGAGACCTAACAGAGCATACTAGATTAAAATCCTTCTGAACAGAGATTAATAATATTGATGGATTTCACATCATAACACTCCGGAATCAGCACTGGGTACCGCAGTGCCACTTTCTTTCTGTCAACGTTTTTGTTCATTTCATCATGTGTCATCAGATCAGTGCTTACAAACTGGTTATAGGTTTTACAGAAGCTTGAGTCTTCACATGTATTTCTATCCTTTCTTTGTTAGAGGGGGAAACATAACAAAGCTGGACAGAACTAAACTTTTTCCTATAGACATATAAAACTAAAAAGACAAATAAATCTGCTGTATAAGGAGTTCTATCCTGGTCACTGTGCTGTTTCTTGTTATCAACAGAATTGGCTATATCATCAGATAAAGTATAACTGAACATATGAGTATATAACAGAATTAACAGAAATACAACTTTAGAGTGTAGGGCTACAAAAATAGGTAGTAACCAAATCAGAATGGATATCGCAGTGA